GTCTGCCACGGGTTGCAGTAACCCAGGAGTTTTCCCCGGGATTCTTTTCATTGTAGCACATACAGTACAACTTTTTACAAAGTTTTCCACATCCTTTTTCAGCCCCGGCCACCAAAATTGCCGGCGGGTGAGGTGTAGGGTTTTCAAATATCCAAAGTGTCCAGCCTGCTTTACATTGTGGCTGTGTTTGAGAGCATTTAGACGGAGCGCTTCTGGCAAATATAACTTCCCCCCTTTGTAAGCCAAGCCATCCCTGCATGTTAGGGACGCTTGATTATCTTTGAACCATTGGTCAGTGAGGAGCTCTCGTTTTATTTTCTTCACTCCAGGGTCATCCGGATTGGGGACCCTGCGAGGTGTAAGTTGAGTGACAGTTTGTGGATTGGGAATAATTGCCTCGTTAACCTGCTCTCGCTCACTTTTGTACTGGGGTAACCGGGATAGCGCATCAGCTAGAAAGTTCTTTCCTCCTGGTATGTACTTTAGAGTGAAGTTGAAGCGGTTAAAGTACTGTGCCCACCGTACTTGCTTTGGTGACAATTTGCGAGGAGTTTTCAGTGCCTCTAGGTTCTTGTGATCAGTCCATACCTCAAATGGCACCTTGCTCCCTTCTAGATAGTGTCGCCAGTTCAATAGCGCCCACCTAATTGCGAAGGCCTCTTTCTCCCAGATTGCCCATCTTCGCTCGCTCTCAGTGAATTTCTTAGAGGTGTAGGCACAGGGTTGCAGGATCCCATTTTTGTTCTTTTGAAGTAACACTGCTCCAACCGCCACATCGCTGGCGTCGGCTTGAATCACAAAGGGTTCTCCTGGGCAGGGGTGCTTTAGAACCGGTTCAGCGGCAAATAGTCTCTTTAAATTCTCAAAAGCTGTTTGACAGCTCATTGTCCATGCTAGTGGTTGGCCCGGTCGTGGCTTCCCTCCTCCTTTGCCTGTTTTGAGTAGTTCTGTAAGAGGAAGGGCAATCTCGGCAAAAGAAGGGATGAATTGACGATAAAAGTTGGCAAAACCCAGAAAGCTTTGGAGCTGTTTGCGAGTCCTTGGGGGTTGCCATTCGATTATAGTTTTTACCTTGGCCGGATCCATTTCAATACCCTCATTGGAAATTCAGTAGCCAAGATAGTCTAATTGGGTTCGGTGAAATTCACATTTTGACAATTTGACATAAAGCTTGGCATTCAATAGTTTCTTTAACACTTCTCTCACTAGTTTTATGTGATCATTCATGTTTGTGCTGTATATCAGGATATCATCAAGATACACCAAAACCCCTTTGTACAAGTGATCATGTAGAACCTCATTAATCAACTGCATAAATACGGCTGGGGCCCCCTGTAGTCCAAATGGCATGACTTTGAACTGATAGCTCCCCATAGGGCAGTTGAAGGCAGTTTTCCACTCGTCTCCCTCTTTTATTCTCACCCGGTAGTATGCCTCTCTTAGGTCTAACTTAGTGAAGACACTCCCCTTAGCCAGGTGGGTCAATAAATCCTTTAGGAGGGGGAGGGGGTATTTATTTTCCACACTTACAGCATTGAGTCCCTTGTAGTCTACGCAGAGACGAAGAGACCCATCTTTTTTCTCTTTGAACAACACAGGGGCTCCCACGGAAGATTTGGCCCGTTCAATAAACCCCCTCGCTAGGTTCTTGTTCACATATCGCTGCATCTCCTCCATTTCGAGGGGGGACATAGCATACATCCTCGGACGTGGGAGTTTGGCTCCGGGCACCAGTTCGATGGAGCAGTCATTGGGTCTGTGAGGGGGTAGGGCATCACATTCTTTTTCACTGAACACCTCCGCCAGGTCCAAGTATTCTTTGGTTCACCTGGGGTCAGTGAGACGGCCATGTGCGCTCGCTCATTGGGTGGCCTAAGATGCCCGGTAACATCTGTTGAATCAATGGGGGGATCAGGCCCTATAGGTAGTCTCACAATTCTCATTCCTTTCTCCCACCAGATAAATGGCTTCCATTTGTCCAACCAGGCTAGTCCCAGGATCACTGCCTCGATCATCTTTGGAGCCACCAGGAAACGAATAAACTCCCAGTGTGCACCTATTTCTAGGCGTAAAGGCTCAGTTAATTGTGTAATAAGAGTCCCTCCCATCAGGGAGCCATCGGCTTGCTCAAATCTCATCGGTTTGGAAAGCTGTTTTGCCCTTATGCCCATTTTCATGGCAAACGCCAGACTAATAATGCAGCGGGTACATCCCGAATCAATTAGTACGTTTAAGTCTATTTGTGCCCCAGACGTAGGGATTACGAGTTTGGCGGGCAGTGAAAAAGGCAGGATTTGTTGACTCACCATTGGGGCGTTTTCTCCTTCATCGTCGCTATCAAAGAAGGGAAGAGCAGGGGCAGGTCCACCTGGAGTCTTGGCATTCTCCTGTGTGTGGAGTGTAACCTGGGCGACTGGTTCTTGCGTGAGTCGATTAGATTTTTCTCTTGGTAGCTACTGAGCAGGTTTCTTTTGCATCGCCGGTCCTGGCTTGCTCTGCAGTCGAGGGTAGGGGACTGGACACGTGGCCGCTCGGTGTCCTCCTTGTCCACACCGGAAACACTCGAAGGAAGGGCGTGCAGGTGGCCTGGGTCTCTCAGCCCTTGCAGTGGTTGAAGGCTTTCGTGGGGGTGATTGCTGTTCAGGTAGCTCTGGTTGCTGTTCGGGTTCCTGTGGGGGAGGCTTTTTATAGCGAGAGAGCTTAACATCCAGCTTCACGGCCGTCTGGTACCACTCCTGCAGCCGATCAGGTACTTCTCGATAGATGCAAGCCTGGGAGAGGTGATCATCTAATCCCTCGATGAAGTGATGGATGAGGGACTGCTCAGGCCACCCCTCTATTCGACCTGCCATCTTGCGGAACTCTCGCACGTACTCCAGGGCAGGCCTCCCTGCTTGTTTTATTTTGTGAATTTGTCCTGCTGCTTTGAGGCCGATGGATGGGTCTTCAAATCGTTCTCTCAGTCCTAAGAGAAAGAGATGGGGATCCTCCAATTCGAGGGCTTGCTCGCTGTATAGATTGTTCTCCCTCAGGTTGGCCCCAATGACGTCAACCATGGCCCCTGGTTCCGGATAGAGATAGGCCCAGCGATTTAGATGAGAACGCACTTGGTTGAGGAAAAAAATCAGCTTCTCTGGGTCCCCATCAAACGTTGCATTGAAGGGTGGTGCAAGCACAGGCTGCTGTGGCCCCCACTGGGGCTGGTTCCATGGCTGCTGGCCAGCGGGGTTGGATGGTACCCCCTGCTGCTGATCATTCATCTGCTGGGGAAACCCATCTACCCATTGCTGCAGATGCCTCAGACTGGAACTCACCCTCTCTTCAGGGTTGGGGTCTCTGGCTGGCAAAGGCAGGGTCTGACAGGCTTCCTGCTGGGCTCCCCATCGCCCTTGTGGCCACCCCAGTTGCTGTAGGCCCCAACCTGGCTGCAGATTTATGCCCAGGGGTTGCACGTTTGGGGGCTGTGGCCAACCTCCTTGCTGTGGCTGTTCTCCCCCCAGCTGCTGATTTCCTGGCTTCTGTACCACCCCAAGGCATTGCAAGGCCTCTATTGGCTGTGGTAAGTTCAGAGGACATAGATCAGCCACTTGCTGGGGAACCCAATTTCCCCTTTGCTGCAGAGGATTCAAACTGGGATTCTCTCTCTTAGGGATGAAGGTTTCACTTTGTAGGAACTGTTTTCTGTTTCTCATTTCTAAGTTTTGAAATCTTTCCAACGACTCACCCATAACTGTGTTATCTGTCCATTCTGCTTTTGAAGTCTTCGCTCTCAGCTGGGAAATCTGCCAAATTTCTCTCTCCCCCGACTTGCTGGCTATCGCTTTCCCCTCCGGGGAAACTGCTGCAGCTACGGGGCTGGTTTCAGGCAATTTTTTTTTTTCTCCATAATGAGATCTCCCCCGAGGCTGCTGTTGATAAATCGGGACGTAGATCGTTTGAAAAGAGTGTGGATTCTGGCATGATGTCACAAGTTCCGACTAATGAAGCACTTCAAAGAACTTTCAGGCATGTTTCCTAAAGTCTTTATTTGCAGAACTACAAATTATGCCGGTCACCATTGGACTAGTTGATGCCAGAATCTGAACTTCCGGTCGCTGGCATCAAGCTTTCCTTGCTCAACCCCTCCCTTCTCATGCAGTCACAGGTCACATTATCCAATTAGTGAGAAGGTCAAACGTTTACTTCCTCTTTCTTTCCCGGGCTTTTTCCCCCGCCCAGTCTAAGCTAAGTATTAACCCAATAAATGCCAAACAGTTTTGCATATTGTCAAAGCAAGAATATACATTATTTGCAGCATTGACAGTTGGCTTTATTTCAATAGTATCAAAAGGAATGCTATGGGAATAGCAGCTTTTCATGTCATATATTTTCCTTCTGTTTTAAAGACATGAGATAACACATCATTCATGGTATGAGAAAGAGTCCTTAAATAATGGTAAAAGGGATTAGACACATTCATGAGATCAGTTACTAATTCTGATGTCTACTAATTATTTCTAGATCAACAACAACAGGGGAGTGTTGTGTGAGGACATCAGACCTTTTTATGTTCCTAATCTAGGAATCATTATCAGAAAAAAGAGTGCCATAGTTTTATTTGTAAAGAGGTTGTCCCTAAATTACTTGGTCTATGTTCATTTGCAGAGGTAAAATTAATGCCACCATTGAACAGATAGCCACTGAAATTAACACAACATGGGATTTTAATTCATGATAACTTATGTTACTATTAATCATTCTTTCCTACTTTCTAAGATTTTGCATTTATATTCATGATACATTGCTAAACTGATGCTTTAAAAACCATTATTTTAGTAAGATGAGTGTATGGTATCATTCATATAGAAGTTATAATATTTAAAAAATCATCATGCATTGTTGTATCAACTTTTTTTAGTTTAGTTTTTTTTTTTTCAGAAAAAAATTAGACATTTAGAGCTTTATCCACATTTCTTCCATGTTGGAAATAAACAGTTCTAACTGAGTGTTCATTTTTACAGATGATCATTCCAGAGTAACTTTAATGCAGATAGATGGATTTCAGTGTTCAGACTATATTAATGCTTCATATATAGATGTAAGTGAAATCCTTTTCTTATACAATTACTTATTTTTCCAGAATAACTACAGACTGTTTTTAAATGCATCTTTAATATATATTCCTGTAAAAATAACACACATATTTTTTTATTTTCTCATAGGGCTACAAAGAAAAGAATAAATTTATAGCTGCTCAAGGTATTTTTTGGTTTCTATTGTTTGACAAATGTTTTAAAAAGTTTTTATTTTGTACTTTTGCATACGCAAAACAATTTCAGAAATATTTAGTTTCCTTTTACATTTAGTCTAAAGTAAGATTTAAGGATTTTGTAATATTGGTTTTATTTATTCTAAGGTTAATGAGTGTACCATAACACGTAAGTGTTTTTCTGAAGAATCTTTAGATTGAATAAGATGTTACTGAGAACTGAAATGGAGAAAAAGTGGTACATAGTATGAAAGGAAAAGGAGAAGTATGCCATCTGCCTTGACTTCACTCTTTATACGACATTGGCGTAAGAATTAGAGATATACAGAACCAAGGAAGAGTTAGTAGAGAACTGTTTGTGTGTATGTGTATGTACTTCCAAGTCAATGCTGACTCACAGGTGACTGTTTTCTGGCTTCATATTGAAAATAAAACTAAACCCCGGTTTCTCAGTTTCTAGCCTGATTCCTTAACCACTATCAAACTTAATAGGAATCATTAGAAAGTAAAAATGAAAAGTTTGAATTAGTGTTAAATATTAATATGGCAAATATAATTTCATCACCATGTTTAGCAAAATTATAGTTTGCAGGAAAACAATGAAGATGTAAAGTTTTTTGGGGGAAGGTCCTAGTTAAATAGGAAAATGGCAACATATTTGAATATTTAATGTAATTTATATAATAAATTGTCTATGGGGTCTCACTTTTGGTACACCATCCATGTGTTTGTGTATCTCTGTGTGTGCACATGTGTATTTAATCCAATTTTCCAATTGAAAAATATGTACTCAAGGAATTGATGTGGACCATGAACTGTTGAGGATTATACAAATATATTTACAGTAGATGTCAAAATTTCTTTAATTCTACTGTTTCCATTTCATTTTATTTTTTGAGTGAGAATAGGGAAGTAACTGTCCAATTATGCTAATATATACATTTTTCTGTTAAAATGCAAGAAGAGTGCAGTGGAACACAAGCAGAAATTGGTTTGCTTGAGCCAATTAAACTTTATATTTCTAAGAAATGAAGGATTAGGGGGAATATGTCTTTACAATTAAAATTTACTTGTGATATATTCACCTCACTAGCAAGAATAAACTTTGGATTCAGGGCCACTGCACAATTTTTTTATCACTTTATACCTCAGCTGAAGCTTCAGGAGGAATGTATTTTAAAATAACAAAAATAGTATAGAGTTTCTCTTTCAGATTTTCTAATATGCAGGATAGTGTATTTGCAGTGAAATATTTTTATTGTGAAATCTGAATGCCAGTTGGCCAGTTTATTTTAATTTTAATATGCATTTTTTTAATTTGTTTCTTTTCCTTGGACTTTCTGAATGTTGTAAACCCTTTTGAGCATTTCTTATAGAATTTGATATTCTTCTCAATAGATGAGAAACACTTTTCTGTACTCTGTATAGCTGTTAATTCAGTAGTTATTTTCTATATCTAGGTCCTAAACAGGACACAGTAAATGATTTCTGGAGGATGGTATGGGAACAGAAGTCAGCAACTATTGTCATGTTAACAAATGTGAAAGAGAGAAAAGAGGTAAGACATTTCAAAGTTTATTTCCCTCCAGTAGGTTTGAAGCAGTCCAATAGCCCACAAAACTATTAGTAACATAACCACTTCCTATATCATCTAGCCAGTAAAATGTCAGTCTTTCTGATACAGTACAGCAACTGCAGTAATTTTAATACTTGTCCTTACATATTTTTCTTTGTCTGATTTCCTGGCATTGTTTGATAGACAAAAGTTACAATTTCATAGCGCCAAAGAATGTTAGTAGCACATTTAAGGTCCAACTTTCCTTCTACCATCATTATTACTATTTGAATAACATTGATTAAACTCAATATGAAATTTGTATCCTGCAATATACCTATAAGAGAAGGTGACCAACTGTCCTCCTTTAGGACAGTCCTCCTTTTGTAAGTTCTGTCCTCCTTCGAAAAGTGTCCTCCTACATGTCCTCCTTTTCGATATTTGAAGACTAATTGCAGGGCTTTTTTTTTTCCCCTCATAGAACGCTCAGAACAGCGTTCCAGCACCTTTTTTGATGGTTTTTTTTTTCCAGCTTTTGCATGAGCTGTGCTACTCCCACTATTGGTTTCGAAAATCAATAGGAATTGCTGCTGAGCGCGCCAAAACACCCGGCTGGCAAACTTTGCACATGCAAGTTGTCTGTATTATTGTTGCAATGAATAAAATGTTTCTTTTATTTATGAAATTTTTTTCTTCAATTTATTTGTGTCCTCCTTTTCATTGTAAAAAAGTTGGTCACCTTATATAAGAGTAAATAGCTGTAGCTAATGAATTCTGATTTTTGATAAATGAAGCAGGGTTTTTGTTGTTGTTTTTGCTCAAGAAGGACCTCTCCTGGCACATAAAGAGAGAAAAAAAGATGTATGTAGGCTATATTTTTGAAAGATGACATGAAATTATCTCTCTGTTCTAAGCTTTAGTTCTAAACTATATTAAGTTCTTTTATCTTCTAAATAGACCCAGACTTGCAGAAATGGATCTGTACAATAATCAAACATAGTTGATTATAAAGTTACGTCTCAACAAATGTTAGTGTTATGATATGTCACACCTTACCCTGATATTATTTTGAATATAATTTAGAGCTATATGGTTGTGTTTAGTTTCAATTTCAGAATTAGTCCTCTCTTTTTTCCATATAGTTGCAGCACAATTGTATGTTTTTAACCTGTTTATTTGGGTGAAACATACAAAATGCTGATGTGGTATGTTTGTGTTTTAATATTTACATAGGACAAATGTTTCCAGTATTGGCCTGATCAAGGATGCTGGACCTATGGAAGCATCCGGGTTTCTGTGGAGGACTGCATAGTTCTTGTAGATTACACCATTCGAAAATTTTGTATTCAGCCGGTATTTCACTTTCTCTATTATTGCTTTAAAATATAATTAATTATTGCTCACCCTGTTTTTAGAATAAAGAATATTTAGAATTATATGTTTTTGTTGAAGGATAAAAACTCAGCTTTATTTAATTTTCACTTATATTTTCTTGATATTATTTTAGGATTAATATTGAGATATTATTTGAAATTCTGTGCATACTTTGATCCTGATATTCTACTAGCGCCTTCTTTGGAGTCCCATTTGGGAGTTCATGATTCCCCAAAAATGTAATTGATCATAGATGGCTGTACTGAGTTAATGCTTTCTACAAAATTCAGATTATGTTGACATCATAAGGAATCATGTAGAAATGACAATATAAATGATGCCTTCTTCAATAATAATGTTTTTCAGAATGGTATAAACAATAAAATGAGAGGAATAGAATCAGATGCAATAGAAATTTAAAACTATGGGCAGATACTCATACCTGCTCTGGTACTGTATGGTGGGAAGGTTATTGGCTTTAATCGGACAAATTTGTAGAAATATTATTGAATGTGATATATACCAGGGAGCCCTGGTGGTGCAGTGGTTAAAGTGCAGTATTGCAGACAAACTCTGCCCACAGCCTTTAGTTTGATCCTGACAGGGCTCAAGATTGATTCAGCTTTCCATCCTTCCAAGGTCAATAAAATGAGGACCCAGATTGTTGGGGGCAGTATGCAAATAATGCTTACATTGTAAACTGCCCAGGGAGTGCTGCAAAGTGCTATGGGGCAGTATATAAGCCTAAATGTTGTTGCTATTGCTATACTACATTTATAGCTCTCATATGGTTTCCTGTGGATATCTGATTTACTACTGTGGGGACTTAGCTGTATTAGCTTGGCTACTGGTCTGATTCAGCATCATGATTGTTCGGACCGTATATTAAAATGTAAAAATTTCAGACCATTTTTTTAAACTTAGGGTATAATCTTGGTGCCTGAGAGATTTAACCTGGAGAATATTTCAAGTTGGGATGTCAGTGTGGAAAAAATAAATCTGTTTATTGCATACAATTCATCTACAAATGCTTTTGGTGCATGATTAATTTTATATCTGCTTTAATTTTTCTCTTTAATGTGTATCCTGCAGAGGAGGAAAAAAGTCAAGTAACAAGTAACTAAACTATTGGTTGACTTCAATCTTAAATGTAATTGATTGTGTTCATATTTTGTTTCTGGACCTTCAGCAGGTTTCTGATGGCTGTAAAGCTCCGAGACTTGTCACTCAGCTTCATTTCACCAGCTGGCCTGATTTTGGAGTGCCTTTTACACCTATTGGAATGCTTAAATTCCTAAAGAAAGTCAAGTCATTGAATCCTGCACATGCTGGACCAATAGTGGTTCACTGTAGGTATGTATCTATGTGGAACAGGAAATGTTTATCCTTCTCAGTGTCCGGGCATGGGATTAACAGCCCACACCAATCCAAAGGATGCTCCATGGAACAAATGTTGGAAGGTGTGTAAAAGAGAAACAGGAACTACCCCATTTTTCCATTCATAGAAATCTGGTGGTTCTAAGAGATGCAGTTGAACACAACTCCAAGACAGTGAGTTTAGATGTAATATAAAAATACAGAAAAATAATACTTGGAAATTATAGACTCCTGTATACTAATTTTAGTAAAATATTCCACAGTCTTCTGCTCAGTAATATATAGAGAGAACATTGAAGGGAAGCTGAGTTTCTGTATCAAAATTCAAAAATAAAAACATGTCATTAATAAACTTTAAATTGCTCATTTTAAAAAAATGAGCAGTGGCAGAATTAGAGGGAGAGAGGAAGTTACAATGATATCATAAGCAAAAACAAGTAACTGATATAATACATAGGAAAAGTCCCTGCCTAGCACAGGATGCCATGCCTTTTTTTTTTTTTTTTCAAGGAAGGCTGAAGATTATTTGCCATGGCAATTTAAATAGCAATCTGTGATAATTGTGCTCCCTCTTGTGGTAGTTCAGGAGGTTAAGCAGAATTGTCTGTATATGTAATTAGATTTCGGTCAGCTTACAAAATTCAGTAAGTAGGTAAGTAAGTAAATAAACTACCAGCTCACAAAATCCAGTAAATAAATAAATAAACTGATTACCTACACATTAACAGGCAGCCTGGGTTAAAGCAACCAGAACAATCATCCATACAAATATAACATGGGCTTTACAAATGTATCAATGAACACACTGACCCCCCTACAAATATAACATGGGCTTTACAAATGTATCAATGAACACATTGACCCCAAACCTGGGAATGAAACAGGTTTTAGAGGCTTTTTGAAACCTCAGGAGAATGGATACCATATCTTTCTCTGGGGAGAGGAGGCAGAGACAGAAAGGCACACTTCGTTGGCAGTATTTAATGGAAGGGATCTGGAACACATGCACTCTGCTTGAACATACCTGGGGGAGGGCAGAAACTATTGGAGATACGCAGGCCCTCAGATAACGAGGCCATATAATATGATGGGGTTTGTAGGCAGTGACCAGAACCTTGAATTGCACCTGGGAGCCACTTAAACGAAGGGCTTTCACCACATCCAATTAAGAAGAGTACTGTGATTAGTGATATCAAGAACTGCTGAAGTCAAGGAGCACAAAAATGGATGCCAAATGTTATCAATAACAGAACTGGTATTATTCATTCATTTTTTTATGCCACCCATCTGCCCTATAAGGTGACTCTGAGTGACTTACGAGTTATAAAATAAATAAAAAATAATTAAAACATTAACTGTACACTGATTATGATTATGATTGTAAAACTATACTGAAACTGGAACCAAGAGATGGACAGGATGGAAATGCGGTCTTCTTACCCTGTCAGCCACTTCCAGCAGTAAGCACCTCCCTCAGGGCCCCAGGCCAACTGGCAAAGTTTGATACCCTTTTGGAAGGCCAAAGGGTGGGAGAAGTTCTCACTACTGGTAGTAGAGTGTTCCACAGGGATGGAGCCACAGCAGAAAAGGTTCTTCTCCTTGAACCTGCCTGTTGGAATTCCTTAGCAGATGGCATCCATAGCAAGCCTCTTCCACTGGCGTGAGTGGGGCAGGCTAGTCCCATTGTGGAAAGACACTCCTCAGATACCCTTGACCCATGCTATGTAGGGCTTTAAAGATAACAACACTTTGAACTGGATCCAAAAGTAAACTGGTAACCAATGCAGCTCGCACAATAGTGGTGTTATATGTGCATTCCTAGGGGTTCCCAGGACTGTGCATGCCACTGCATTCTGCACCAATTGTGGCTTCCGAGTACTCTTCAAGGGTAGCCTCATGTAGAGCATGTTGCAGTAATCCATCTGAGAGATGACTAGGGACTATGCTTAGGGCCTCAATCCAGGAGGCAAGTGATGCAAAACGAAGTTGTGCAAAGACTCTCCTAGCCACAACTGCCACCTGCTCTTTGAGCAGGAGTCATGAATCCAGGAGGACCCCCAAATTGTGTACTTCCTCAACACCCTTGTATGAAATCTGACTGAAATGGGTCCAGAAATTGGTTCAGCTATTGGCAATATAATAAAGACAAAGAAATAATGTTTTGGAAGTAAGATATATTGTTGCAGTGTAAGATGCATTATTCCATTGTGGTCTTCTTAGTTGCAACTATGATTTCTTTTTCAAGTGCTGGTGTGGGTCGTACAGGCACATTCATAGTAATAGATGCCATGATTGACATGATGCATACTGAACAAAAAGTTGATGTTTTCGAGTTTGTGTCAAGAATTCGCAGCCAGCGTCCACAGATGGTTCAAACGGATGTAAGTAATACATACATACATACATGCATACATACATACATACATACATACATACATACATACATACATTATATACATACCGTGTTTCCCCGAAAGTAAGACCCGGTCTTACTTTCTTTTGGGCTCTGAGGTAAGCACTAGGATTTACTTTTGGGAGGGCTTACCTATTGCCAGTACCAGTAGGCTGCGATCATGCAGGGGTGGGGCTTGGGGAGGGAGGGTGGTGAAGTTGTGGAGTGTGGGTGCATTGTGGTTGCCCTGAGTGGAGTGTGGGTTAGAGTTGGAGTTAGACATTGGGGGTTAGGGATGGGAAAGCCTGGAAAAAGCCTGGAAAACTTGTGAACAAAAAAGTTTTTTTCCTGTTTGTTTTCAAAGTGTTTTGGGAAAAAACCCTGTTTTTTCCCACCCAAGTTTTTCTGTTTTTTTTTCCTCAGGCTTCTCATCTCCCGTTAGGGTTAGGGTTGGGATTGGGGAGGTTAAGGTTAATATATGGTAGGCATGGGAGGCCTGGCTACGGCCTTGTGTGGGTCGGGGGGATCCGCCAGGCCTCATGATAGCAGCAGTGGGCACGATGCGCGAGGCAGGAAATGGCTGTGGCCAGTGGCAAACGAAACCGGAGAGCCATTTGCCACCTCACGCCCAATGCCGCTGCCATGAGGCCACAGAACAAGCTGGCGGTAGTAAGGAACCGGTATACCGGCACATGGGTCAGAGGGGGGAAATCTGCCAGGCCTCATGGCAATGTCATTGGGCGTGATACATGAGGTGACACACAGCCACGGCCCACCGAAACCAGCCATTTTCCCCCTTCCGTGTGGTGCCCAATTCCACTGCCATGAGGCCACGGAACAAGCCAGACAGTGGTAAGGAACCAGTATACTGGTACCGTGGGTCAGATCCCCCCTCCCCCATCAGCTTGGCCTCATTACAGAGGCACTGGCAGATTCCCCCCCCCCTTACTTCATGTCTATGGTGAAACCAGATGGTATCAGCGGCAGGCCATCCGTGCAGGCTCTTAAGTAGAGCTTACTTTCGGGGGAGGGCTTATATTAGGCCCACCCCTCAAAAATCAGCTGTGGTTTACTTTCTGGGGCAGGTTTATTTTCGGAGAAACACGGTATTATTTTCAGTAACTACAGGAAGCCTTCTTTACATTACATCAATATGAATCTTTTGCATGTTAATCAATTGAGGTTAATTTTTATTGGTGAACATTTTCTCCTTCTCACTGTTAAAATCTTTCTTTGGAAATGACAGAGAAACAGAAAGAATTTGCATAGCAACTTAATTTGATATTGTATTCAGTCTCAAATGTGCTAGGTGTTTTTGTTCCCTAAATCAGTTGTATTTATCCACAGTGAGATTATCACATATCTCATTTTCTCACTGCTGACATGATATCCTGGTGTTTAGAAGAATCATCATTTATTTTTTTTAAATGATGCTAAAGCAGCAGCTAGCTGATCATAGCAAATAGGAGTTTTTTTTAAAAAAAGTCAGAGGACAGCACTTTTTCTTATTAAAAATATTTGCCACAAAAGTCTTCTGTGTAAGTTCATTTTTTGTAGCTAAGACTAAGGCTGATGGGAAATGGGAGTGATTGTATTCATTTCCTTATTAAATCTTTGCAGCTTTTACCATATCACCTCACCTCTTTTTTATCTTGTTTTTGTTACGAGAACATTTATGCTATATTGCAATAAGTAGGTATCATTCTCGGTCTTTGAGTCTCAGGTGTAGAATCTGAGACTTCAGGCTACCAAGTGACCTCTGAAAAGTTTGAATTAATCTCTTTTGTAACTTTTGCAGAAAATTCAGCTACTCAAACAGCAATTTGGACAGTGCATTTCAGCAATGCGCACTAGGATTGTGGGTGTGCAGGAAATATGTAGGTTAGAAATGGCCCATACCTTCAGGGCAATTAAAAATACTCTTGACAGTTCAGTCCTGTCAGTGATAATATACCTATCCTATACTTGTTACATTGGTTGCCAATAGGTTCCTGGCTCAGTTCAAAGTGCGAATTGTCACCTTTAAACCTTTTGCAACATAATACTGGAATATATCAGGCAACATCGTATGAAAATGGAATCTACCCATCCATTTCCATCCTATAGAGAAATCCTTTTCCAAGTCCCACTTCCTCATGAGGGTCATACATTGTAGGCCAGATGACAGGCTTCTAGGGGGCAGCCCCATTTGTTGGAAACACTTTTCTCCTTGAATTACAAATAACCCTATTCTAGAGGCATTCTGAAAATTAATGAAAGCAGTGCTGTTCCAGGATGGTTTAATTGAATGTCACTAGTAATGAATTGGAATTATATTTTGATTTTTACTCTCTAAATATGATTGTAATGTCCTATTCTCAGCTTTATTTCATTATTCCCAAATCCAAAGGATTTTTGGATTGTGGGGAGGTTATAAACATTGTAAAAATAAGTGAAATGTTTAATTTTTAAACAATGTTGCTGAATACTATTCAACTAAAAATATTTCAAAGATCATGATTTAGAGTGTTCTCTTTACAGATGCAGTATTCCTTCATATATCAAGCCTTACTTGAATACTACCTCTATGGTGACACAGAACTAGATGTATCCTCCTTAGAAAAACATCTGCAGCAATCAAATAGCACCACACCAAATCTTGTTAAGATAGGATTGGAAGAAGAGTTTAAAGTAAGCCTTAAATAGTTTAAAAATTGATATAAAATAAAACAAGTGTGCTTTATTAATTGACTCCAATGCTTCTTTTTAATATATTAATTTTCTTTCCTAAGATATTTCATAGTTTTAACAATATCTGTCATGTTATTTATAGTATACATAAAATATCAAAAGTTAAGTAAAATTTAAAAATTAAAGGTTTTTTTTATTTCTTGGCTTTTAATTTTTTATTTAAAGTAAGTACTATAAAATGAAAGTGGCATGATAAAGAAAAAACTAAAAAAAACCTCATGCAAGCAAACATTTAAAAAAGAAAAAATGGATTGGGAGTACATGAGTACATTTATAGTGTTAAAGTATGAAAAAATACTCATATTCAGTATTCCCATTAAAAATATACTTGTATTGATGAAGGAAAAATTACTAACAGTATTTCAATAAAACAGTCTTATAGACTTCTTATAGCTCTGTGAATTTTTCAGCTGATGCTATTTCATAAAAAAAACAATATTTTTTTCTTTCTCTCCCCCATCCCCAAAGTACCTTAACTAGTACAATGAACTGGCTCTTAACTTTCTTACACTTAATTTCCTATAAGGCAGTGGTTCTCAACCTTTGTGTGACGGCGACCCCCGTCACACAGACGCACCGCACATGCGCGGCGCTGCCCCCATGCGCAGCGTGCATGCGCGGCGGCGCCCCCTGAGGGGGAAAAATGGCGGATCGCGTTGTTTGGCGACCCCTGTAAAATGGTCGTTCGACCCCAAATGGGGTCGCGACCCATAGGTTGAGAACCGCTGCTATAAGGCTTGTAGAACAATAACCACTAAGTAGACATTATATGGTAGATGTTTTGAGTTTTAAAATTTCCTTATGTGGAAGTATGTAACAAAGTTCCCGTGCAAATGAAATGATATGTTGGTTTATCAAGTAGAATTTTTCAGAAGAAAATATGAGTAAGACATTTTGATTGAAGTTGTTATTGTTCTTCTCATATTGAGTTTTCATATTTTCATTTGTAGTCATTGTCTAATTTTTACTTTTGTTTTAGAAATTAACAAATGTTCGAATAATGAAAGAAAATATGAGAACTGGTAATCTGCCAGCAAATATGAAGAAAGCCAGAGTTATCCAAATAATCCCTTGTAAGAAATTAAATTGCATTTTTCAAACAAATTGTATAATTTAATTGACAAAAACTTACCTATATTGTAATATTTTACAAGCAACAGTAGGTGGCACTGCAGACTGAAATATAACTAAACTTTAATTTTGTAAAAGCCTGCTGATCATAATTTATATGCTATTATTGACTATAAAATATTTAGAATTTTACAAAATCTAATGTAACTTTTTTGTGCCTTAGATGACTTTAACAGAGTGATTCTTTCAATGAAACGAGGTCAGGAGTACACAGATTATATCAATGCTTCCTTCATAGATGTAAGTACTTTTCTGTACAGAAAATGCACCTACTGTAAGAGATGTTAACATCTTTTCCAGAATATTTGTTTAAAATTCATCTAGAAAGGGCAGTGTTACATGACCTTCAGCATTACTGTACGTTAATAATCTGTGAATTTAAAGAAAAAGAATCAGAGCCTCATAATAACAATAAAAAAAGATCTTGTATTTAAAATATCAACATAAAAAAGCAAACATCTTTGCTTTTTCTTAGAACCAAGTTTGATTTACTTTTTTCTATGGCAGAATTTGTTTTATTTAATTGAAAATAAAAATAGATAACTTTCTTTGCTGATGTCAAACTTTTTTCTGTCTATTTTGGTGAACAATGTGTTTTTTCTTGGCATTTCAATGACAAATGAATGTTCATTACATAGTATTGAACTCATATGGTGCATTATGTCAAACTTGCGTACTCTAAAGTTCATAAAAGTGTGTGATGTCCAGAATGCTTTGACTGAAGCCACAAAGATCACCAAAATTTGGTATTGTTAATAGGACAAATGACAAAAGACTGTTAAACACATGACTGAGAAATGATCATATTAACTATATTTAATGAATCTGACATTTTAAATACATGTAAATATATATGCAAGAGGAATCATTTACTATCTTGGTCCCACCTACTTTGTGATTCTGATCTCCTTCTCAAAGGTCAACTGTAAAAGAAGAGCTACACACATTGGCAGTAAACATATCGCTTGTTTGATTTTGACTTTTGTGAGACCATCCACTGTGTTTTGTAAACTGTGGCTTCTAACCATATTGTTTAAATTTAGCCATTGTGGCTAGCTCAACAGACTATTGTTAGAAGTCATGAGTTGTTTAGTGATGTGTATTCCTCTCATATCCTCCTTTCAGATGAAAGAGGTTCATTATTTATTAATTTAACAAACCCTTGTCTTCTCTGGTGTTACCCTCCAACAAGTCTTCTTTTCAGTCATTGTAAGCCTCAGTGAAGACTTGGGCTAAATTTGTTTAACTAATTTCTTTGTTTTGTGGATCAGAGTGAATGGGAGTGGGATTGGAAGGACTTTTAGAAATTTAAAGAAAACATCTATTCTGATAGATCTATTCAGTGCTTTTTTTCTAAAAAAAAAAAAAAAAAGGTGCCAAACTCACACAAATCATACAACCTGCCTTGCCTATCCTACAAGGTTCCATCCAAAAAAGGTGCTGGAACTCCGTTCTGAGCGTTCTATGAGAAAAAAAGCCCTGGATCTATTTAATATAAAATTCCTTCCAAACAGGAGAATCTAGGTAACAGAATTGTCAAAGGATGAAATATTTCTTTGTATCCAGGGCTATCGCCAAAAGGACTACTTCATTGCAACTCAAGGACCTCTTCCTCATACTGTGGAAGACTTCTGGCGAATGGTGTGGGAGTGGAAATGCCACACCATTGTTATGCTTACAGAAGTTTTGGAAAGGGAGCAAGTATGAGCATTTTGTACAGTATCTTGTAAATATTTTGTTATTAAAGTGGAACAAGAGTATGGAAAATTCATTTGTACGTTACATATCATTAACACGGATCTGTAAAATGTAGTGCCTCAACACAGGGCTAGCATAAATTTGTCCTAGCGAATGTTTTGCAGTTCTGAGGCTGTGCAAGTACAATTGATGCATTTGCTATTGATTGCTGTTGACCACGATTTTAACTGTTCAATGAATTATGAAATCTCCTATGAGGGAGCAAAATTGGCTACTCTTCAATTGCTGAGGCAAACACTTGTCTATCACAGACAAACAGGTGATTTGCAAAAGCTTGAATTACTTTACAATCACATGTTTTCAGAAAATATAAAAATCTAATTTTTATACCGTGTATAATAGCCAAAGTCCAAAAAAAGTCATCATAATTCAGAGGAAGTTATAATCAAATGCCAAGAAATTCAGTGGGAATTAAGTGTAGTTCTATGCTCAGATGTTAGTGATGTTTAACACTTGCAATTTCCTTATAGTAAGAATTCTGTATATTTGGTGTTAACTTAATTAGGATATCAGAACCACCTGGGCGTGATTCTTTTCATTACTCTAGTGCAGATGGAGTATACGGTACATATTATGGTGCAGTATAAATGGGTGGGGAAAATGGAATTAATTTGTAAATCCCAGGAATGATTGACATAGCTTAGATATCAACAAGAAATATGAAAGCAACATTTTTTTTCTGTTTCTAAATTTTACAGGAAAAATGTTTTCAGTATTGGCTATCAGAAGGTTCTGTTTCTTATGGCGAGATTACTATTGATATTAAGAATGACTTGCTTGTTGATTCTATAAGCATAAGGGACTTTTTGATTACACACAACCAGGTATTCTTCATAATTTCTCTACTTCTTAAAGTCACTATAGTTATAGCAACTTCAGGTTGTCTTGAATATATTTTACTTCCATTTAGCAGATTTGTCCATAATAGTTATCAATATTTTACTTTAAGAAACATATCAGAACAGGCAAATTTTGACTGTCCAGAAATTTAATCCCATCCTTTTGTAATTGGCTAACAAGAAGATATATACAGAAGATCAGTCTACTGCAGACCTCAAAAATCAAATCATGCCTGATATATCTCTATATTTCTATCTCTATATCTATCTGTAAAACATGCACATACATATACACACACATGCATACATGCACGTTGTATGCATGGTGTAGCAGCACCAAGATTTGAATTCTGAATTTTCAAATCAACAGATTTGGATTATTTCCTTAGCCTGAAGAGTGAGAGACATCTGTTTCATATTTACATTACAGTTCTAGTCAATCCTTAAATTAATGAGGAACTTCTCTTTATCAATTTAGTGTTCAGATTACTGGAGATAGAAACACACTATATTATGTGTGTATGTATATATCATGTACTATATATGGTATTTTTAAATCTATTTTCTAATATTACATTGGACAGTTAAAGTAAAAAACATAGTAGTTGATACAAACTACATAATTTTTGTCACTGCTTATAGAAAGGTTGCAATATGTAATAGATTCTGAAAACTTTTATGAATCTATTTAGAATTAAGCCCTAATTCCATATGTCTAATGGAATTACTTCCAGAAAAGTGGGTGAGGCTTTGGTATTTAAAAGTATTTCTTTCCATTACTAAAATTATCTTAAACTTGGCTTTCTCACTTCTGAATAACTAGGAAAAGCAAAGCAGAGTTATTCGACAGTTTCATTTTCATGGATGGCCTGAGATAGGCATTCCGACTGAAGGGAAAGGTATGATTGATCTCATTGCAGCTGTTCAGAAACAGCAACAGCAGACAGGAAACCATCCCATTACAGTACACTGCAGGTAAACACTTTCTTACATTCCCCCCCCCCCATTCTTTTGCAGCTTTAAATTTGAAAAGCTCGCAAGGACTTTCACTCTGAAGCAGAGACAGTAGGTACATGAAAGAAATTTCACGATCAGAAAGCTTTCTTCACAATCAGAAAGCTGCCATTTACTTTATTTACAGCAGGGAAGCAAGTGAATTGACCAGTGATCAGGATGAGCATAATGGCAAGTGTATATACAAACTGATGATGCTTCAGATAATTTGGTCCCAAGCCCTAAAAGACCATTGAGATAAAAATAACCACCAGTGAATTGGTCCTAAAAACTGACAAGAGAGTCAATGGACTTAACAAAACAGCACAATTTAATGGAACTTCTGGTCTCAAGTCTGGTTCTTACTTTGTGATCAACTTCTAATTTCCAAATTTTTCCCAGAGGTGGTCTCATATGAACCATATTAAAATAGAGTAATCTAGAGCAGGCATGTCAAACTCACGACGTCACATGATGTCGTGTGACATATCATGACTTTTTCCCCATTGCCGGCAATGGAGTGGACGCGGTTTCGGCATGATGCATCTGGGCCAGCAATTTGACATGCCTGATCTAGAGGTTACTAGAGCATGGATAGCTGACCCCACAAGCTGCATGATGCATCACGGGCCGGCAGTTTGACATGCCTGATCTAGAGGTTACTAGAGCATGGATAGCTGACCCCACAAGCTGCTATTGCTGGTCAGAAATGAAAGGAGTGAATTGTAGAAAAAGAGCTATCATGGTATATATCATGCTATCACAGCATGAAATGCACATGGTATAGTGGTGTAGCACTCCACAGTTCTATAGTTGTCTTAACATATGTTTCTATAATGGATTCTGTGATGGATACCTTACTCCAGATGAATTTGAAAATTGACTTTGTTAACAAATCTTTAATATCCCTTTGGTTCTACTGGATAAATTGTTCAGATTCCTGAAGATGTGTTTCATTTAATCTTGTTCAGTATAATTATAATCCATGCCTTGCTTTAGGCTCATAAGTTACCAATATTGAAATAGAGAATGGAAACATTCTTTATTGATAACAAAGTACTGTAATATAACAGAATCTTGAAAGCTTGCCAAAGTAATTCTCCAGTTCAGTTATATGTAATGTAAATAAGGTGGAGCTGTTCTGAGCCTCTTTCTCATGCTTACCTTTCCCCTGGATGAAGGATTTCTATTTGTGAGAGTCTTCGTTCCCTTTCCATCTTCCTAGGATCTACTAAACATTCCATCATAGCAGTTTACACAGAGACACAATTCAAGAAGTGTGTGAAGTGTGTGAAGTTTTCCCCCCAAACTTTTGTGAAAGATCCCAATCCCTAATCCTATATAGTTCTACAAAATTGAAGAATCCTCTCAATTAATACTGAAATAACTATCTCTTCCCATTTTGCAAGTGGAAACTTCTTCTGGATCTTGGTGGGTGGATAAATCTATTCCAGCGGAAACTTTGTATATAAGCAAGTAACTTCAAAATCATCATTCACTGTCTGAATAGTTTTAAAGTTTAAATTTTTTAAAGAACGTATTTTTATGGTAACATGAAGATTCTATAAAAGCTATATATGAATGAGCAAATTTGCAACATGAACGCCATATCTGGTACTCCTGAAGAAGCAAAGAACTACAGAGGCTACTAAGCCTATTCACATTAGCAGAGACTCAATTCTACATGTATATTTTATTTCTCTGCCTACAGTATTTGTCTTTGTCTTTGTAGTGCTGGAGCTGGAAGAACAGGTACATTCATAGCACTCAGCAATATTTTGGAACGAGTCAAAGCTGAGGGGCTCTTAGATGTATTTCAAGCTGTGAAGAGCTTACGGCTGCAAAGACCACATATGGTGCAAACACTGGTATGTTGCTTCACCGCAATTGATAATATAGCACTAATAATATAATATAGCACTAATATTTTGGGAGCAAAACAGAGGCTCTGTCCACATCCTACAATAGAATTGCTTTGCTAAAGCATAGTGACTGTGGGACTCAATTGATGATGGCAAGTGTAACTGCAGGGATTGCTAAGCAATGCTGTCATACATTAGGACCATATCATTTAGCAACAGACCTTCCCAATTGTCATAGTATGTTGAGGAGTACATGTATAATTCCTCCCCAATGGTAAAAGTATCCAGTTATAGGATGTCTAAAGGTTATGGTAGGATACAATTTCAGGTCCCCTTATTTTGTTGGCTTGCTTTAAACCAGGCATGTCAAACTGCCGGCCCGCGGGCCAGATATATCACACCAAAACCGCACCCACCCCATTGCCGTCAATGGGGAAAAAGTCATGATATGTCACATGACGTCACGTGACATCGTGAGTTTGACATGCCTGCTCTAAACAGAGCTGAAAGCCAGTTATGAATAAGAGCATAGAAAAGAAAGAGAAAGGCAAAAGATGAAAATATCTAATCAGCAAAAATTAGAACTGGTCTTTTGTTTGTTCTATGAAAACTTGTTCTAGAGTAGTGAATTTGTATTAATAGGCTCAAATGTAGGTCAATAAATTGAAAATACATTCATAGTAATGAAAACATATAAAAGTACCAGGATTCATTTCTTATTCAAATAGTTCTTCAAAGGAAATAATTATTTTGTTCATTGTTTTACATACAGTATAGTAGTCTTAATCTAGGCAGTGTCACTTGATAGATAATTGTGCTGGAACATGTAACAAAAGGTGAAAAACATTTTATCTGTATGATATTTTATTATGATTCTACAGTTAACTTTTGAAGTTAAATACAATTCCACAGAGTTCAAATGTAACAATCTCTCTTTTTTGCATCTGCAGGAACAGTATGAATTCTGCTACAAAGTGGTACAAGATTTCATTGATATTTTTTCTGATTATGCCAATTTCAAGTGAAAATGCTTGCCATTTTTTTAATTTAATCATCTGTACAAAGATTTGTAAATCATTAATTTATTTCCATTTTTTTTAAAAAAAATTCTAAATGTACATATGATTATCTATGTTTTGCTTTGAATGTCTCTTCAGGTATATGTATGACTCAAATAAGCTTCTACCTTGATCCAAAGGAGTATGCACAGACTCTTTTCATACAATAAAATAAACTTCTAGTCAGCTGTTTGGTGACAAAAGGAAAGAGCTGATTTGTGGGATTTTTGTAGATTTGAAAGGACTTAACATGTTCACCCCAGCTAGTTGATAAGGAGGAAAGCTGTATACGCAGAATATAGTTGCATGTTGGACTACTCATTCAGCTGATGAAATGATGTGCAAAACCTGTGTCTGCATGTGTAACAACCCTATCTAGGTCATGGCTTTGTGTTTTTGTTAGTTTTAATTTTAAATAACTGATCCCCATGTACAAAATATTGCAGTATATACTGCTGTGAATACAGGCACAATTCAGCCTATGTTAGGCATATTTAAGACTCACTGATTTCAGTAGGTTTAATAAGCATATGCTTAAATATTTCCCATTGAAATTAATGGGACTTCGAATCCAGCTAAACATTTGAAAGCACTGATTCTGAAATTAAACTGAGGTAGATCTGATCAGTGGCTTGGATGACAGCCCACTTATCACTCTGAGCCCATGTAAGAGCAAAATATATTAATAGAACTTTAAATCACCTTAATTTTGGCTGAATCTTTTCCATATTTTACCTAAATGCATGTAAAGTTGTGATTCATTATCTCTAATCTTAAGTTTGAAATTATATATTTTTAATTTATTGTATATAGTCCCTAATATTTATATAAAAAACAAAGTACATTTTTAGAACTAAAAAATCATCCTGCTATCATTTAACAATATTTTATTTAAAGCAAATACCATTTAATGATTACACCACAAAGATACCAACCAGACTGAAATGAATATGGGCTTTCTATGATAGACAGATAGAAAAAAAATTTTGAGTCTTCATTTCAATAAGATTTATATCTGTTTCTTGTTTTATTATGTTGATACTATTGTGGTCATTAATGTATTTTATCCTAATACAACATCACTAATACTAATGTGGAGAATTCACCAAGATAGATAATATATAAAATATGCTAGAATGTGAGAATATTCTAAATATTTATTTTTATTTTATCAGTATTAATTAGAATCATTTGCCTCTTTGGTACTGTTTTGATCTTTATAGTTAAGCACAACTTGAATAGAGAAGAACACAAATCTTCCATAAGCAACAACATAATATATCATTTTAACTTTTTAAAAAATGTATATTTTTAAAAATAGGATTTTAGGAAATTCTGTTTTAATGCAAGTTCTCAATTAATACCATAGTGTAAATATGGAGTTTCTTAAATTTAATTAAGTAGTCTTAAAATATAATTTTAAGCTATCATTTTATTGAATTAACAGAAATTATATTTAACTTATAAACCAGCTGATCAATATTTGATACTATTTTGTATCAAGAAATTTTGTTTTGTTGTCATAAATAGCTATAAAGCCAGATATTACATTTATATAAAGAAAATATATATCTCTTTAGTAAGTAATCTAAATTAATTCATCACTTGATAAATTCTACTGAAGGTAATAAAACTTAATAAATGGATATCATTTTTAAGCTTAATTGAATGTCACATATTCAATATTCATTTCACAGTAAAGCCCTTAATTATTTAAGTTCTTTTGGTATCCGTGGCACATGCTGTTAGTAAAATAATGATCCCCTGCACCGTATCCCCAAATATCCAGTTGCTCCTTATCTTCAGAGTGCAAAAGCATAAGTATTCTTATTTCTATTGTAATGTGGCCTACATGAATGGTAGAACTTAGAAGCATCATGTAGATGCCAGAATACCTACAGGTCTTCTGATTGGGCTATTCACGTGCAAACAGTCATGTTGTCCAAAAGCACAAAACCCAATCATCTTGATAGTACTTGTATAGAAATTGTTCCCTATAGTTCCTTCTTACTGGCTGCTGCAAGATTTCAAAGTTCTTACAACAGAAGAAACATTTTCTTGATACCAGCAAAGAGAAATAGTAATTCAGCTCTTTCAAAAACAAAATAACGTAAGCCTGGATTCAGTTATGATTAACTCCAATGTTTTTAGGAAATAACAGGGGCTGCTGGAAGAAGGAAGAGGACAAATTATTTTTATACTCTCTACCTTATAGTTTTTCACCCCCTCTGTTCCCATGCATTGTTTTAAATTGTTCTGAAACAATGTAGGGAATAATATAAGAATAAAAATGGAGTTATTCTTAAAAATGTCCAGCCATTCCTTCCTCTGTGGAGCAACTCAAAAAAAATTTGCTCTGCGAAAGTGTGGATCATACGTCAAGACTGAACAAAACTAGAACGACAGTAAAGTAACAAAATAGGCAGAATTTTGTTTTCCCCTATTTTAGAAGGTATATATATATATCTAAAAGCACAAACATAATTTATATAAATTTATATACAAATGTCTATATAATATGCAATACATCTGGCTTGTCTGGTTGTTTTATGAATTATAAATGCCTTATTAAAATTATGTAGACTGCAAGATGGTCTTTCTACTTTAGCTCTTGTTCTTTTTAATTCTACATATATTTAAATTGTTTCTGAAAGGAAAAGAAAAGTGAATACTTTTAATAACCCAGAAAATAACAAAATGTCCAAAATTTCCCTATCAGGCCAATTATTTTTAATTTCTAAACTATTTAGGTTAGCAGTTTACATACTGTTTTTAAGCACAACTGCATAGATGAAAAAAAATCCTATGTACACACAGTTGTATTCACATAAAGAATCATGCTTATTTTATGAAGTGACTGATATTAAAGATTCTAACCTCAAAAGTTATGTTGTTAAGAAATATTGAATAAACTTTCTATATGAGTATCTAATAGAATTCTAAAAAACTTTAGAAAAACAAAATTTCCAGCTTGATGTGGTGTAGACAAAAATCCATTGAGCCCAAAAGATGAACAATTTCCACATAGTGCTTTGGAAAATGCTTCTAGCAACCTTGGAAGTATCAAACATTTTCTGTGTGAGTTAAGTGGAAATTAACTCTAGCAATTTTTTTGTCCTGCCTGTTCTTCTGAAAGGGTCATCTTGTGTAGATTGGGGGGAGGAGGGTACTGACCTAAGATTAACATCAGGAATTATTTTAAGCATCCTGAAATCTTGAATGAAATATATGTCTTTTAGCTGTCTTGATTCCTCAGTTCCTTCTTTGGATCTTTCCAAATAGCACCTTCAGAATTTTATATAAAACAGTCACCAATTTAATTTACCTCATATCCCTTGATAAATCCAGACTACTACAACTGACTGGTGTTTATTCATCCATGCCCATTTAGGTATTAGTAATTAGATAACATTATCAATGCTAGTAAGAGTGCTAGTAAGGCTAACTTACTACCATTGATAGTATCATTAAACACATTTTGTGTTTAAATTACCCATCAAAAACCAAGAAAAATCCTTCATGTTGTAGAAATATGCCTCATTGTTAAAAAAAGAAGAAGGAGAACTATGTTGTTCTATAAAATAATATAGAAACGAAATCTGTCAAAATGCAAACTCTGTCAAAAATGCACAAAAGGTCCATGAATGAAATGATTTCAACAGAGGAGACTTCCATAGTTCAGGATTGAACTGTGGAGTCCTTGATGCTCTCTGAGCTTAGTTGTTTGCAGACATTTCATTCTAGAAGGTAACATCTTCAGTGCTAGAAGGGAGTAGAGTTTCTCTGTTTATTTACAGAAGCTTACCAGATCAGTGTTGGTGGCAGTATTGTTTTTTCCCCTTGTAGTTCTTTGATTAGGCTACCAACTGACTGAGTTGGTAGTTCCTTGATTAAGGTATTTTTTTATTGCTTGATTGTTTGTCTGATTTTAATCCTGGTGTTTATCCCTGCTGATTGTTACTGAGGAGGTGTTCTGGTCTTTTTGATTCTTTTTTTCGCTTTTTTATTGCCTCTTTTGAATGGTATGAAAACTACTGTATATAAATAGAGTAAATTCCACTTATTCTAGAACTGAAGCTGTTATCTAGTAATGTAAGAAAATGTCTGCAAGCAAACAGCCAAGGTCAGAGAAATTCAGAAAACAGAATACTTGGAGCTGGTGCAATATAATTAGTAATTCAAAATATAAGTCTAAATAGTCTCTTCCTAACGTATAAAATTTATTTTGCAATAGCTGACTTTAAATAATTATGTTGGATTCCATGAGAAAAAAACCAGAATACCCAACATAATCTGTTTCTTGGATATTGTTCAGACTATTTGGTTCCGTGTAATTCCATTTGATACCAATATTTGTTCTGTGTATAAAAATTTTAATCTGAATCTAGCAATACAGATAGTCCTGGACTTACAGCCATAATTGAGCCCAAAATTTCTGTTGTTAAGTGAGACATTCTTGCCGAAGTTGTTAAGTGAATCACTGCTGTTGTTAAGCTAGTAGTAAGTTGTTAAATGAATCTGGCTTTCTCATTGATTTTACTTGTCAGAAGGTTGCAAAAGGTGATCACATGACCCCAGGACATTGCAACTATCATAAATATGAACCAGTTGCCAAGCATCCTAATTTTGATCATGTGACCACGGAGATATTGCAATGATTTTACATATGAAAAATGGTCGTAAGTCACTTTTTTCAGTGCCACTGTAACTTTGAACTGTGACTAAATGAATTGTTGAGAACTATCTGTAATAAAAAGGTTACAAGGTTCTAGGACTGAAGCATTAGAAAATTTAATTTGGGGTTCAGAACTTTTTAATCAGATCAGGGTACTATACTTTATATAGCATGCAATATTTTTCATGCTTTGTTTTACACTGAATGAAACATCATTAATAAATACCAAATAAAGATTAGAAATTACATATTCTGATCTGCACAACAGTCACTATGTGATTGACCTTGTCTTATGCAGTAATAGACACTGATTACCAAAGTTTTAAGTTCCGGTTTAACTTGAAACATGTGAACAACTATAAACATTAAAGCCATTTAATTTAAACTATGCTTCTAGAAAAATCCTACATTCATCAACAATATATGAGAAGTTCATTAAGAAGAACATTATTAACTATGAATTAGCTAACCAAAAAGAAACATTATAAACTGCTTTTTATATTCTCTTTCAATGCAAAACACAAGAGTTAGTCATATTCTGTATATGCCTGGAATAAGGGAATATTTACACATCTGTGTGTAAACATGTTGGCATGATGGTACTACTACTACTTGGCTGCTTACAGATGTGCTTCAGATAAGTGTTGCCATAGGAGTTGCACCAGTCAGCTACCAAATTAATTGAAGATTAATTTAGTCTGGGTACTGTTGGGAGAGTCGGGTAGCCTAAATCTGTATCTGCCCTGCCTGTCCTCTTCTGTTTTCCTATATAAAGGAGATTGTGCCTAGTAAGAGGTAGTTATGAGGTACTAGTCTTTTAGAGCCAACTGATCTCAGAGTCTACTTTAGACAGTCAATTAATCTTTGATGCAGAAAAAGCAAACAAGCACACATTTTCTGTTTGAAGGAAAAAACCCTGTTCCGGTATTATTGCAAATCACATTAGAAATGATTTATAAAAAAGAAAGGGAATCAGTCTGGTGTATTGCTTAAGGCTAGAGACTATGAATTCTAGTCCCATCTTAGGCAGGAAGCCAGCTGCATGACTTTGGGCCAGTCACTTTCAGCCCTAGCGAAGAAGAAAGCAGCAAACCACTTCCAAAAGATGTTGCCAAGACGACTACATGGAATCAAGGCTGCTTGGAAGGCACCCTCCTCCACTCCAAAAAAGAAGAAAAAGATTCCATTGAATATTCTTAAGGATTATTGAATATAGCTTAAGGATAGCTTTGGCGCTTTGGCCTCTATCCCTAGCAGTCTAAAGATAGATTTTAAATTCTTGCACTGATGGACACTTACCTCTCTTCATAACTTTATCCTGAACTTGCAAAGGTTGCGGATTAATTTTCAAGTATCCTCTGACTAGGTCTTATTTGGAATAATGCTGAGGAAAGATTGGCATAGCTATATACAGGTATTTTTCTAAGTATAGGTAAAGTAAAAATTTGGTGAGGACCATGGAAGTGTAAGCAAGTGCTACGGCTGCATACAGTGATATTGTAAGTGTATTTATCATCCTATCCAAAACTACATTTACAGTTTGTGAGTTGGGTTATGACCAAAGTTGCAGAAAGTACTCAAGGCACATAAAACTGGCTTGCTTATTGCAACATTTCAAATCACTGCATAATGCAAATGCATTTGGAAGCAGCCAAGTGCTTGGGGATGTTGAGAATCATACATGCACATCAGTTATATCATCATAGCTCTTCTGAACTGCAGTGAAATACCTGGATGGGGTTTTTCTATTCCTTGTGCTTGCTGAGAATGTTTCACAATAATTACATGTATCTATGGTTCTTTTACATGTATGTGCTAAGCCTACTGCCATCTGTTCCACATAGCCCAGAAAATTCAGAGGACAACCTTAGTTCAGTGATATGCTTTATATAGGCTCATATCTACAGTAATGCAGAAACTAATGTGGAAGGGGATTCTTGTTAATGGTTTCAAATACACTTAATACTTGAATTACAAAGGCTCTAAAGGAGAATACCTATTGTATTGATCATTTTGAAAAGGACATTTATGAATCTTGTTTTAAAGAGTTTGAACCTTTTTGTTCCAGTAGTTGAAATGTTTACTTTAGGCATTATAATTTGTAATGTATTGCTACTGAACCTTTTTATGTACATGCTAAACCCTATTTAATTTATGTCAAGGATGTTGTACGTATGTAATATAGTGAAATTTTCTTTTATTACATTTATAATTTGATCTTGCTGTACAATATTTATAATTCCAGTGAATGTTGTTGAATTATTTGTATATGCAGATTGCAAATCTAATAATTCCAATGCAAGAACAAGGCTTCATTTTATTTTCAGGCTGTATTTCTTTCCTTAAATCTCTTAATTTAATTCCTGTCCTGTTTGCTCATTTAAACTAAATATTACAATTTTATAAAGAACGTAAAACCCCTTATTTAAATTACTTTGCCAAGCTGTTAAAATTATGGTTATTTTACACAGAACACTATTCTGACAAAAGAGTGTTAAATGAAGCATTTTCAGTATAATATTTAATTTAAAATGGTAGTTGAATAATTCATTCAGAACACACATCGTTATTCTAAATCTGAATAAAAGTAATCATTTTTCTTAGTTATCCCAGTGGATTATACAAATGCTAATATAATCTTTCTGGGCAGTGTTTTTTTTTTTCTTTACAAGAAACACCACACATCTAATGTTCCACTTATTTAAAATCCACAGCAGAATTCTACATACGATCTTTTTTCCTGAAATAGTTAATCATTCATGTTTTAAAACACTGCTATAAACTGCCCTGAGTATTGCATAAACAGAAAGGGGGAATCTAACTTTTATAATTAAATAATTCCTTGATTTTTGAATTGATCTTATTTAGTAACAGGCATGTAGAAAAAGCTGCTGCTTATGTTTTCAGCTTGTTTATTTTATCCCCTTACTTGGTTTCATCAAAACAGAGATTGGGGATTTGCCCCCCTCTTATTTAGCCCTGATTCCCTTTGCCCTATCTCTGTTTGGGGGGCCAAGGGCTCCTCATTCCTGTTGCAAATCATTCTTGATTGCCCCTCCTTGCAGCATTTTCAGTAACACTATAAACAAGCGCTTAGTATTTCACCTGCAAACAGGCAGCCAATGGAGTACTTTTAATACAATACTTTCTTCTTCCAGAGACAACTTGATCTTAGGTTATGCACTAACTGAGATTTCACCATAGTTTTAAGGTCATTTTCTTCCAGGAAGAGACATAATTAATTTATCAGCCAAAATCCCCAAACTGTATATCTGCTTTTTCTGGGACAGCAGAAACCTATTCAGAACAGGAAGCTTTCTATTAACCTTTTGGAACTTTAATCCTTGCAAACACTACTATTATGCCTGAATTTTAATGCACTATAGTTTATGCTATCCTGTGTGGTCATAGTCATTTCAGAAAAGCATTGCATTACTATATGCTATCAGGATCACTATGCAATAGCTCTCTTTCTGAAAAGCAACTGTCCTTAAGTAATACCATCTGAAATCTGTTTGAGAGAAAAGGAAGCAAGCAGAACTCTTATTTGCAAATAACTTGGGAGATTCAGAAGAATGTGTCTTAACTGATAATGTCAAAAGACACCAGTTTGAAATGACTCAAGATATAATGCTTCCTACTTTCTCCAGATAGCCTGCTGCAGTGAAACTACTATCCTTTTGATTATTTTATCTAATTATGGCAACTTACAGTGACTTGCCTAAGAGATCTGAAACTGTACAAGGTTTAGAAGAGTTTCAATCATTGCTTCTTTTAAACAAAAATCTTCAAAAAATTGTAATATTAATTATGATACTTATAATAACTTCCAAACTAGAATTGAGAAGCCACATTGGGCAAGGACAGAGGGCCACTGGTCAAATGTGGCTTCCCAAGTAGCCTGCCCACTTTGTTGAGAGGACATTATAACGTATGTATAAGAAATGTCTTCTGATAATTAAGTAATGTTATGAGTCATAGTTTGAAACCATGACAGCCAGTTTGATATAGTGGTTAAGGCACCATGCTATGAGTCTAGTCCCACCTTATACTCCTTGGGCCACTCACTCTCTCTCAGTCCTAAGAAGCAGGCAATGGCAAACCACTTCTGAAATATAATATTGCCAAGAAAACTGCCATTGCCCCCTCAAAAGCAATCATAATTAAATGTTAACTATGACATAGTTTTAAAAAAAGTACATCACTCCATTATGGTTTACACCTACAGAACAGAATGATGGAATTATCCAAACTTGAAGTATTCACTAAATGAAATCTTATTTGATAGAAGTAATTGAGTTTGTTAATTCTAAATGTTGCTTACTTTGCCCACAAATGAGTTATAATTTATTTTCAAAACAAATATGTCAGCAGTAACTTCTCCAGTAGGATATGATATATTAAAGTTAATTGGATTCTTTAAGTGAGTATATATTTCAAAACTGTAATTACTATAGAAAAATCTCAGTCTGGGAATTTTCAAGTACTTAAGAATATAATTTTCTTATACTTCTGTTAGGAGAATGTTCCTTAAAAATCAATGACATTTACTTCTGAGGAGATAGGCAGAGAGCTTTACAACATACTTGTGTTGTAACATTATTTTTCCCCATTTGGGAAGATTCGTTTGAGTATGCATTAGCTCTGATCCCTACTGCACCATTTATGTGAAGATCAGAGAGATTAGAGGGAAAACTGCATCTTTGGACCTACTGAAGCATTCACCCTTGAAAATGATGTGCATTAGAACCATTAAGATGTGTGAATTTGTGGAATTTGTGAACAGTGTATAGAGTTAAAATCCACACATCTGAAAGAGGCTGAGGTTGAGAAATA